TTTGTGTCTCTCTGAGATAGACTCCGGATCATAGAATCTGCGCTTTGGCATCCTCCATCTTTCCACTCTCTAGCATCGTTTCTAGCATATAACAGTAGTAAATTCTCATTCATTTGTTGTTGCTGAAATATTAGCTTATTCCTACTCTTCCAAATTCTCCATAAAATACATATTGGTAAATCTTTAAAATGTTGTAGTCGCACCGAAGAGTTTAGCAATACACATGCTTGAATCTGTTCTTCTAGCGATATCATAGGGTCATCAAAGGAACTATGAGCAATACCTGACGCTCTCCAAATTTGTTTAGCATAGTTACAATCAAAGAAGAGGTGAGCTTCCGATTCATCAGCTTGGGAGCAACGCTTACAGGCTGAGACTCTTGTAACATGACGTCTCTTTAAATTACATCCAGTGGGAAGACTATGAGAAAGAAGCCTCCACATAAATGTTGTAACTTTGAAGGTATTTTTGAGTCCCACACTTTCCGTTTTAATAAGTTATCTCCATCAGTAATTTGCACATTATGACCTTCAGGTAGATGTGTTGCTAACCAATAGCCTGATTTGGCAGTATACATACCATCATCATTATAATGCTCCCCTATTAAATCCTCCTTTGCTATAGGACTAACTCTGATTGCTACAATTCGATCATAGTCTTCTGGAACAACAACACCACGTAACTTATCCAAGTCCCAACCCGTTTTTGTCTCATTGAAATAAGCATTAACCTTCTCTAAACCATCCACCTCTCTAAGTGGTCTCGATGCTTTTGGAGGATGTAATGGTAACCACTGATCAGTCCACATGTTAGTGAAAGATCCATCTCCAATCAGATGCCTCATCCCTTTGATGACCAACTCCTTACCATATACAATAGATTTCCATGCAGAAGAGGCTTTTCTTTTCACCGTAGCCTTTAATATATCTCCATCAGGGAAGTACCAAGCTCGTAAAATACGAGCCATTAAGCATTGTGGGTTGTGTAGAATCCTCCATACTTGCTTACCAAGTAAAGCTTGGTTAAAAGCTTCCAAATCTCTGAATCATAGGCCCTTTTCCTTCTTTGATAGACAAACTCTTTCCCAAGTAAACCAATGCATGCCTTTATTTTCACCATTAACCCACCAAAATCTCGCAAAGATACCATTGATCTCATCACATACTTCCTTAGGAAGTTTGAAGATATTCATAGAATATATATAGGCATTGCCATAGCCACTGCTTTAAGCAAAATTTCATTTCCCTCATGAGATAAATGTCTTTTTTTCCAACCTTGAGTAGCCTTCTTAACCTTGTAAATTATGTATGAAAAAATCTCACTCTTCTTTGATCCAAACTGCTCTGGCAAACCCAAATACTTACCAACTCCTCCACCATTAAAAATTCCCAACAAATGTTTCATCCGAGTCTTTGTAGATTGAAGTACCTTGCTACCAAACACTATAGAGGACTTGTTGTAATTAATAGCCTGCCATGAGGCTTCTTCATACTTCTAAAATATATGTTTCAGTTTCTTTGCAGCCCTTTGATTGGCTAAGGTAAAGAAGAGAGAGTCATCCGCAAATAGCAAGTGATTGACTGCTGGTGCCCAAAGTGCTACTTTAATACCCATCGAAGCCTTTGATTCCGTAGCTCTTGACATCACATGGGATAAAACTTCAGCACAAAAGATGAACAAATAGGGAGATAGAGGATCACCCTGCCTTAAACCCCTTTGTGGTATAATATGTCTTTCTGTAGCTCCATTAATCAGCACAGAATAACTAACAGTTGTAATACAAGCCATTATTCAGCTTATCCATTGATCACCAAAACCCATCTGTTGCATAGCTTCTTGTAAAAAGCTCCATTCCATACGATCATAAGCCTTAGTAATGCCAGTCTTAACTGCCCTATAAGATGTAGCTTGTCTCTTCCGAACCTTCAAACTATGAAAAATCTCGTGAGCAACAACAATATTATCAGAGATAAATCTTCCTGGAATGAAGGCATTTTGATTATCTGATATAATGTGTGGGAGATGCTTCTTCAAACGATTAACTAGAACCTTGGAATGATTTTAAACGATACATTTCATAAAGAAACGGGTTGAAAATCTTTCATACCAGTAGGAGGGTATATCTTCGCTATAAGACATAGGTTAGTGTGGTTGTGTTGTTGATCCAAGACCCTTGTTTCAAAAAAAACGTCGAACTTCTTGCAGTAGATCATCCTTAACATCTTCCCAAAAAACTTCATAAAAACCGCAGAAAACCCATCTAGACCTGGGGCACAATGTGGTCCCATATCAAACAAAGTTTCTTGGATTTCCTTCTAAAATACATATCGAATGGGATCTCTGTTCATATCAGAAGTGACCTTCTTCATTATACCAGCAAAAACCTCAGAAAATAAACTCTGGTTTATATTTTCTAAAGCATATAACTTTCCAAAATATGTTTTTGCAACATCTGCAACCTCTCCGTAACCATGCATGTTAACACCAGTCTCATCTTGAATAGAGCTTATAGTATTACGGATTCTCTTAGCTCTAGTAATGGCATGAAAATAACTTGTATTACAGTCCCGTGATCTTAACCACTAAATTCAACTCTTCTGCTTCCAAAAGATATCCTCTTCTAAATATGCTTCATTTAATTCTTGTCCACGAGCATTCTTCTCTTGTAAAGTTACATTTGCAGACACAGTAGCCATATCAAGACGATATCTCACTAAACTAGTTTTCTTCTCTAGATTATTTCTATTGAGACGTTTCCAGTTAGATATTTGCTTTCTACACCGAGTAATTCTCTGTACCAATGGGACTCTAATAAGCTGAGCTTGTCCCATTCCCAACCATCCTCTTCTTACTGAACTCTGAAAACCATCTTTGTTGAGCATTCTACTATCAAACCAGAATGTTCTACGTGGTTCTTCTCTTTTTGATTGAATATAGCACACTAGAGGCCAGTGATCTGCTCTCTTATTTCCAAGAACTCACTCTGAGAAGCTGGATAATCTCCAAACCAAGCATTATTCGCCATTGTTCTGTCTATGCAGCATTTTACCAAATGTCGACCCCTTTGCCCACCCAAGAGAACCGATCTGCTATTGAAGGAAGATCTACCAAATCACTTGTTCTCATCATACTTCTAAACTCCATAAAAGAAAATTCTGGTCTCAACAAACCTCCATCTTTTTCATAGTTTCCAAGTATTTCATTAAAGTCTCCTAAAGAAAATCAAGGTTGATTTTGGCGTGTTAATCCTAGTCTTATAAGAGCCTCCCAAGTGGGATGACAAAGACCAGGATTCGGATGCCCATAGACAAACGACAAATAGAAAAAAATTTCATTAAACTGAACAGTACAATCAATTATATTTACAGAAACACTGAGCACTGAAAACTGAACATGTTGCTTAAAGAAAATAACTAATCCTCCTCCTACACCAACCGGAGAAGCTATTACAGTACCCAAACACCCTAACTGAGCTCCAACATCCCTAACATAGTCGTCATGCTGCTTTGTTTCTGACAGGCAGATGATGTCCAGGAGGTATTTACGATTTACCTCCATAAGGCGTCGAACTGTCGAATTAACCCCTAATCCTCGACAGTTCCAAGCTGCTACTCTCATGGAGGCATTGGTGGTTCAGGGCCCACCGCGCCTCTCACAATGTGTTGATCTTCCATTTGTTCATTAGAAGCTTTAGGGATGATCTGTGCCGAACTTCTCAGCCTCTTACCAGAATTACTTCCACTTGCATCTCCAGTTTGCTAGCAGTAAGCATAGTTACATTCTTCTCCGCCTCACCAATCCAGTCTTTCCTCGTATTTCGTGGATTATGAGTAACCAACAAATCTGCACTCGCATGATCTTCTGTGAACATGGTAGGTTTTGCCATTCCATACCATAGTTCTTCATCATCGTTCTCCCTCTCCAGTGCTTCAACATTTTGTTCATACTTCTCGTGAATGGGATCAGCTTCTTCTTCACCTGCAACTACATCTTCCTCATGTATCTTCTCTATAATGACACCATGGTTAGGAGGTTGATGCTCTTCCTCCTCATACTCACTACCATCATCTCCCCCTTGTGGAGAGCCTCCATTTTTGATTACGCAAGCACCAGTGTCATGTGTAATCAAACCACAAACTTCACAAAACTCATGAAGCCTCTCAAAAGTAAGTCGGAAAAGGATGTTGACTCCGGCAGAAAGTGTCTCTGAAAATAGACATGATGAGCAAGGTTCTAATTAAGTTGGATCTTGACAAACTCCAATCTTCCTCGTTGTAATCCATTTGAATGTACTGCGCCAAAGCCCTTGCAATATGAACAATAACATCATGGTTCATAAATTGAATTGGGATGCCTCTGACTTGAATCCAAAAAGGGATGTAGTTGAGAAGATCCATGTCCATCAGCGGAGTCCACCTCAGAAGCACCAACATCCTTTCCTCATAATCCCACAGACCTCTTCTCAAGACGTTATCCATCACCTCTTCTGACGGTAACACAAATTGGAAATGTCTGCCTTCCATGATTCTTCCATGGACAATACCATCAAAACCCCGATTAAGAGGCATTGTGGCAATGATAGCACGGAGATTTTGCTTACAAGGCATGACCGGTCTCCCAATGATGATAAAACGATTCTCCTCCGCCGCTTGCCTCACCACCTCTGTTGGCAACACCACCAGAGCAATTGAGTACCTTAAATCGATCTCTTGCATGGCCCTTCGAATTCTATCCGCCATTGTGTTCAAGAAGAAAACAAAAATCCAAAAGTAGGACAAGATGATATTGGAAGATAAAAAGGTGATGTGATGAAAAGTGAATCGTATCCAGAGAATTATATAAATACGAATCCGCTGTAACTTCTTCCTAACCGCTTCATCACAAGGGAAAGTAACTCCACTCGTGGAGATAGAGGACATCGTGGGTGAAATCGAATCATAATCACCCCATATGTCATGAAAATCACCATCAACCACGAGAATTGTAGTGAGAAGTGTCAGATGGTTCATGTCTGTCTAGAAAGACACAACCAAGACAAGGTTAGTTCTGTTTCTATGCTTTTGTTCATTTTTTTTTTTGTAACACCAAATTGCTTTTGTTCATACAATTAGTTATATGTACAGTGTGTGAATCTTTTTTTTTTGTTTTGGTTGTGGTTAAAGGATCCCAAGGTGGAGTTCGTTGAAGTTGTGAGAGGTCATTATCAGGGAGGACCAAGATCCAAGTCATACATTACTTTTATGGCCAGGGAGAAGCCGAATGGGCCCCTTGTTGAGTATCAAGCCAAGGCTATGGCTACTCTTGATGGTAAGAGACACCCCATCCTCTGCAGACCCACTCCTACACCAAACCCGTAGAAACTATTAATGTTAACATTTTACCCAAAAAAAAAACCTATTTAAGGTATTAATATGTAGTTAGTTTGGATTAGCTTCGTCCATGAACAAACATCTATGTCATTTTATGATTTTGGTTTGAAGCTGTGCACCAATATAATGATATCTCTATATCCTTCATATACATGAAAAGTCCTATTTAAATATGTAAATCTTCTTGTGCATAATCATTTTACAATTATTTATTAATACATGCATTACTAATTCAAGATTATCATGATAAGTTATTGTTTATATTTTTAAAAGGTTTTTTACCGAATACCAAATTATTTATATATGAAAAGTTTATTCAATAATATATATATATATTCATTATTGCGTTAATTTTTTTGAAAACTCTCACGTATTAGAAACTAGATATGACCCCGTGCAAAATCACGATTTTATTTGATGCTTTTTCTTTGATGAAAAATTAAAAAGATTGAAATATTTTATAACATCAATTTTAGGTTTTTATATATGTTAGAGTTAGACTTATTAATAACTTAGTTTCCACCATTAATTTTGATTAGTATTTATGTTTCAGTAATTATAGTGTTTTAAAATACTTTATTGAAAATATTTAATTTATAAATAGTTCAATCTAAATTATTTTTTGTTCAATTTAAATTATTTTAAAATAATATTAGTTATAGATAATTACAAATATATAAAAAATATTGGGATAAATCCTCCCCTATTGTTTCCATGGTTACAATATAAAAAAAAACACAATTGAAAATATATTCAGTGCATAACATTAATCAATCTTATTATGATAGACAACTCAATATCAAATATGTTGTTGGGTAAACACACAATTTATTTACCATAGCATCAATATGGTGTGAGGTTTATCTCTTTCTCGATATATTTTAATGAAAACTTCTTAATATTTTTTAGAAAATTATTATCGTTATGTTTTGTGCTTATTTAAATAATCTGAAGTCCTAGGTCATAGTGATTTTTAATAGTGTGACAAACATTTTTCGTGAGAAAAGATTAGACTTGCAAATATAAACTAATTTTGTTAATATATCTTTGATCATGTCTCTTTGTTAATAAATTAATTATAGATTTTTATTGTATATATTTGTATATATATACACGTTTAATTTAAAAAGAAAAAGTGACATATAAATTAATAAATTTTCAAAGTTGTATTATTATTAAAATTATAGAGTTTACTGTATGTATATATATATATATATATATTAGGTGTTTTCCCCGCACTTACGGGCGTAATTCTCTTATAAATATTTATTAGTTGATGTTTCATTATTTAAAAACCAGCATAGTAAATTATTATTTATGTTTTCAAAAAGTACAAATGAAACATCAAATAATTATCAATGACAAAATTCAAACATCGGAAATATTTAAAAGAATATATTTCTATAATTATTTAAGATAACAATATAATGCATAAGTTATTTATTTTCTAAAAATATCATATGATAATTTTTTAATTATATAATAATTATATAAGATTATAGAAATTATGACATATAAATAAAATTACCTAAAATCATGAAGAACTTAATGAATCAGCAAATTCACTTCTTAAATATTTTTTCTTGAGTGGTGATTTATATTTAATTAATAATAGATAATTTATCTATTTTACTTTTAATTTATATAATATAAAAATATATTTTCAAGATAACAACATAATACATAAAATTACCTTATTTTATAAATGTATACTATTATTAGTGTAAATTTATTTCAATTATAGAATAACTACAATTTTTTTATCTTAATTTAAAATTTTTAATAGAAAAGTATATTTTCAAAACAACAACTAAATACATAAGAAGTATCTTATTTTCTAAAATCCGATACTATTAATATAGATTTGTTTTAAATATATAATAAATTATATATAAAATCATAGAAATTATGATAAATTATTAAAATTACTTACAATCATGGAAAATATGACAAATCAACAAACATCAAATTAACTTCTTAGATAATACTAAATCATGGAGATAAATCAACAAATTCACTTTTTAAATAATTGTTTTGGTGATTTGTATTTAATTATTAATAATATAAATTTTCTATCTTAATTTAAATTTTTATAATACGAAAAAATATTTTCAACATAACAACATAATACATAAAAATCTAATTTTAGAAAATATAAAATTATTCATATAAATTCGTCTTAGTTATATAATAAATATAATAATTTTTAATCTTGATTTAAAATTTAAATTTAAATATAAAATATATTTTAAGATAACAACATAATTCACAAGAATTATCTTATTTTATAAAATATGATAGATTCATATAAATTTGTTTTATTTATATAAAATATAAATAAATATTAAAAATATGATAAATAAAAAAAATTACCTAAATTTATGGAGAACATGACAACTAATCAAATTTAATTTTTAAATAATATTATAGATGTATACACACGTTTAATTAAAAAAGGAAAAGTGAGATTTCTAGTTATCCAAAAAAAAATAAAAAAAAAATAAACGTTATTTATATTGGCTTTCGCTTCTTTCCCAATTAAAGCAGAGGGGTCAAGGGATTGAGGAGGTAGTGATGGAAGGATGGATCTTATGAAATAAAATACTTTTTCCTTTTTCAATAAAAAATATTTTAAAATATTAAATCTAAAAAGGAAATTTATAATTAAGAACTTAATAAATAATAAAATAACAGAATTTCAACATTATTAATGTTGCATATATAACGTTAAATTAAAAAAGGAAAAGTGAGATTTCTATTTATACAAATAGGAATAGAAATAAAGGTTATTATATTGGCTTTCACATTCCCAATTGAAACAGAGAGGTCAAGGGTTTGAGGAAGCAGTGATGGAGGGATCTTCGAGTTATCTCAAACCATGCGCAACAGTGACGAAGAAAGAAGGAGATTCGAGGAAGGAGACGGCAGAACACATGGAGGTTGTTGTGAATTCAAAGCGTAAGGCCGAGTTCGAGCCTGAGAAGTACGAGGAGGAGGAAGAGTACGATGATGAGTACGAGGAGGAGGAGGAGGAATGGGAAGAGACTAGTAAATCTGACATATTACAGGCGCCTGAGTGGGATGTAGACAGCTTCGATGGCGTAGAGTATTGCTCCTCTCCTGATGTGCAGCTTTCTACTTTATCCGACGAGGAGGAGGCGATTCATGACTATAACATCATTAAACGCCAGCTTATCGACAGCAAGGTATGACCTTTTTTTTTTGAATCGTATGTAATTTGAGTGGAATCAATCATATTAGTACAATAACTTTTGTGTGTGTGTTGTTTAGGGTTTTTACGCTGATACAAACCTAAAGCATATCTATCACTACAAAGGAATCTGTCCAGTGAGTTTGGACTTGATGGCATATCCCGACAGAACGTTTCGTGATTACTGGGAAGAGATGGTTCATGTCTGTCTCGAAAGACACAACCAAGACAAGGTTAAATCTATTTCTCTGTCTTTGTTCATACAAGTAATTTTATGTACAAATACAATGTGAATCTTTTTTTTTTTTTTGTGGTTAAAGGATACCAAGGTAGAGTTTGTTGAAGTTGTGAGAGGTCATTATCGCGGAGGACGAAAATGCAAGTCATACATTACTTTTATGGCCAGGGAGAAGCCGGATGGGCCTCTTGTTGAGTATCAAGCCAAGGCTATGGTTACTCTTGATAATAAGAGACACCCCATCCTCTGCAGACCCACTCCTCCTACGCCGAACCCTTAAGGTATTATATGTAGTTAGTTTGGATTAGTTTTGTCGATGAAAAAACATCTATGTCATTTTATTATTTTGGTTTGAAGCTCTGCACCATAGAATGATATTTCTGTATCTGAAGGGTACTATTTGAATATGTAATTCTTCATGTGCATGATTCTAGACTAATGAATTGGTAAATCTCCTTTTGCATACCTCTTCTAGTAAAATTAACAATGATTTTGTTAAGAAAATCGCTTTCTGCAGCTTTAAAAGTATAAGTTAAATAAAATACAACATTAACTTTTTGTTTTTGTTTTTGTCATGTTGGGGAACTCGCAGAGGATGGACTTGGCGAAGGGCGTATCGTGGGAAGTCAGACTTACTGGATTTTTAATGATATATCTACTGGTTGTAACATTTTAACTTGGGTTCTTAATGACTCACTTATCTTTTGTTTAAGAAAGACTGGACGTATGATTTTTCAAGAATTTCTTATTAAGACTAGTGCTGCTTTCAATGTTATTTGATTTTAGTTTGTTAATCTATGGATTTTTTTTGTAGAGTGCAGCTCTAAGTTACTTTTGCTAAAACGATTTCACTAAAACTGAAAGATAGTTACACTTACATATAAGGGAAAGTGTTAAATGAGTAGACAACAAGCACACCAAAGCTACAGAAAGATCAAAACACTTAGTGTTCTCTTATGGGTTATATTTTTCTTGCTTCTAAAAAAGCAAACAAACTTCTATCGCATACATTTCATGCCTACCAGCTATATATTGATGACGTGTTCTACCAGATAAATGCATGTTAACCCATATTATAAATGATGTTCTAACAAGTTTAACATGACCAGGAAATGATAAGCAACTAACATAACATGTAAATCGAGAAAACAAACAACTGTCCAATCCATAGAGTTTTACTACATTCTTTCAATGTCATTCACCACTAACCTCAATAACCATTTGCAAAAGAAGCAGAAACAGCCAACAACCTTCTTAAATCTACCATTAGCATAGCTAATCAAAGTGTGGCCAAAAGATTTTAAAACTACCATCAGCTGGGAGAAACAATCTACAATAACCTTTGTTGCCAAATGTGTCTCCCCATGAATTCTGAACCACCACAAACTCTACTCCATCATTTGTCACGCCTCTTGCAACAACAAGTAGAGCATGCTCATGAGTTTTATCATCTAGAGCGCGTGGCACATGATAGATTCCCTTAAAAAAAATAAAGGCATATTGTGTTGATATACAGTGTTGATATATATGTATTTGCTTTTATTTCAAGTAAACAGAAATGATAGAGAGTCAAGTAATATACTTACCATTCCAACATTTCCAAAGACAGGAAAGTAATTTATGATAATTCCCAAAGGTGTCCTCTCCAACGTGTCATAAACAAATGTTCTTGAAGCATCCTGTTGTTGCTCAAAGTGACCCGTGGTCGGAACCCCGTGTCCACGTGCTCTTTTCTACATAAAGTTTTGATAAGTTGTTTAGAATGTAGAGTAATAAAGTATGATTTAAAAAAAAAATGGAATATATACAAAGACACTTACGCCTTTGAGTCCTACACTTCTTATGTAGTTGATCGGTATGTTCAAGTTTCTGAAGGCAAAAACTTTGGAATTGGTTTGGCTTCGGATGTGGTTTGCTAAACCTAGATATGATAGATCACGATGCTGAGCAATGGGCTTATCTTTGTTATATGAAGCTTGTAAGAGATGTGTAAAGACAACTGATCCGCACGTATCTGCATATCATAATCAGCAACAACCACACGATATATATATAGAATTAGTTTTGGTTAGTAAAAATAATAGGGTCTTGTCTACAAAATTATACCTTCTTTTTGATCTATGGGATCACCAATAAGCCCTGAGGTTGTCCAGTCTCTCTGAATGATGCTACCATCACGAAATGACTATTTGTAAAAAAAAAATATATAAAAATGTTAACACATAAAACCAAAACTATGTTAACACATCACCACGTACGTAAAACCATGCATGTTTTATTTGTCAACGTACCGGTATCCTGGTTTGAGGTTCGACTGGCACAGCTTGTCTTCCACCTAATTGTCCTTCAAGTTCTTGCTGAGCTTGTCCTCTTCCTCTCTGCTCAGCGTGTCCTCTCCCTCTCTGCTCAGCGTGTCCTCTCCCTCTCTGCTCAGCCTGTCTTCTCCCTCTCCCTCTCTGCTCAGCTTGTCCTGCACGTCCTTGCTCACCAGCTTGTTCTCTCTCTCCTTGCTCATCTTGTATTCCACCATCTTGTTGGCCTTGTCTATCACGTAGAGCTTGTCCTCTCCCTCTTTGTTGCGCTTGGCGTTCTCGTTTAGGTTGGTTAAGAGGATTTGGTTGCTTAGTTGAACGGGGTCTTGCTCCGATAGATGGCCCTTCTTCTTCTTCTTCTTCTTCTTCATCGTCCATTGTAACACACCTGAAATGAAACATCCACACCACTTAAAACATTGAATAATATAACTTCTTAGTCAAAAAAAACCACTTAAAGATCAGAGATTTTGCAAATGTTTATTGTTCAAGCTAAAAATATAAAGAGGATCAGATGTTTCTTTTATTCTATCTTGTTTCCACTTCACGTGAACCCAATTCTCAGACTGGTGGTAACTTGAGCTCTCTTCAAAATGCAGCTACTGAGGAAGCATGGTGATATCTTTCTTTTCTCAAGCCATTAGATTCCAGAAAACTCCACCTTAGCTGACAAAAGAGATTGAACATACTGTTGGTTTCCTTTTCCAGATCCTGAGTTCAGGCTCGAAATACTTTGAGAAGGGATCCATAGCTTCTTCAAATTTGCTTACTGCAGGTAACTCCTTACTGTAGATATCAGCTTGATTGGTAAGCTGTGCCTGTATTATGATTTATTCTGTTGAGAGAACAACACCTTTGTTGAACGCAAGTCCAGTGAACTGGTTTCCTCGATCACTTGCATCACTGTATATAATACAATCGTGGTTCAAGACAGACTTGCAAATTGCCTTTTGTATATACGTTTCAGACATAAGTTTGAGAAACCACCGAGTCACTTCCTTTGTCTTCATCCTAAACCACAAATCGTTGTTCTTTATGCTCTATCAATCATAACCTTCAACTCATCTCCGAATGTCTGAACCGGCACCAACTGTTAAGATCTCATCCGAAGCTCTCCATTCACGATCTCAACTCGATCGTGAATCACAGAGTTTCATAAAATTTCATGCAAGTTTCCACAACATTTGTGAAACTTCCAGTGACAAGAGACTAAGCAAATGTTTTTTGAGGCTTTTGAGTCTCCCTACTTCTTAGTTTCCTTATAAGCAGCTAATCCATCTCATCTCTTAGATTCAAGTCCTTCGGAATCATAAGAGTCAAACCCTCTTGTCATACTTGGCCTAACAACTCTCAACACCTTGATAACACATGCTTCATGCTACCAGCACTTCATCAGCAATGTCAGTGTACATGGAAAGAAACTGTCATAGATTCTGCTGATTAACGTGTTAGATGCTCGATTGTATCAGACTTTCTTCGAAATGACCTTTGAGACATTCTTAACAATTTGATGTACTTGTGACTTGTCTGAAGCTTCTGCTTTAAGGACCCACTTCACTCTTTTCTTTTCTCTTCATCTAGAATCTCGCTAGTTCTTTCACAACCTGCAACTCAACTCTGAATCTGAACTTTTCCAGATCTGCACCAAGTTTCTTATAAAGTATTCTCCTTTTTGCCAAACCATGCACAAAGTTTGACGATTTCTTAAAAAGTTTCCAACTTTATGCTAAAGCTTGCACCTTTCTTACTAATCATAATGTTTTTTGTGTAACCTCTCACGAATTCGACTGATTCTGATTACATAGTAGCACAAGCATATTCTTATAGAAACACAGATTAAACAAAAAAAAGAGCAAGTAAAGTATGAACAAGATGAAGAAGTAGAAGATAAGTAAAAGAGTACGTACAAGTGAATGTCTCCCAAAATGCAAACTTATTCTGTTCCCCAAAACTCTTTTTCTTGCTTCTTCTTGGTTCTTTAAGTCTCCACCTCTCCGATATCTTTCTCACTCTGTATTTATAGGCGTGACACGACTCGTAAAACCTCACCTCATCAAGTTCAGCTCAACCTCGTACGGCACTCTCTCATTGGCTATTTCTAGAGTTTTTCTCTTCCAAAGCGAACTAGACACATAAACTAGATAATTAGTGTAATGTAACTAATATCCACCAAAATAAAAGGAAACGATGCCCTGTGTCCAAATATTATAATATATAAGTAATCTGTTAAAATGTTAACTTAAGCCATATTTTAAAACTTCTTAGATGAACAAACCTAGTTGGTAAATAAGAATAATAGAATGTGTGAATAAAACATAAAATATAAATCAGTCACTCCAAGGAAAAATATGCGTTTATAATCACGTGGAGAACAGTTATATAAACTATAGCATAAGATTCAAACTGTTATATATGATTGCTAATCTTTTTTCTTAGAATATTTGTTTTTGGCATCTAGTCAACAAATATTCAAATAGATCGTTTGTTATGATTTATGAACATTCAGACAAAATAGAGGACAGAGCATTATATCCAAGATACACGGAAAGCCAAATTTATTCTGGAGATATTATATTTCAACATGTAATAAGGAGTGGATTTCACACATTGAAACTACATTGTAAATGAAGCCTTTATAATATTATTCTCTCAATTAAGAATTTTAATTTTAAATAATCAATTAACAAGTTAAATAATAAAATGCAAACCAAAACTAAGTATATAAGAAAAAAAAAACTTATTCTAAATGCAGTCAAAAGTTACACATTTTTATTTTAGGAAAAAACATGTTTTACATGAAGATGTGAACACATTTGTCAATTTTAGAATGTGACTCTTGTAATAATCAAATAATAATTTACATTTACATCTATATTTGCTTTACTATTTACTAGGGTCTAGATCGAAAATATTAAAACAATATTTCAATGTCAAGAATAACTCCAATCTTAAAAATGATATAATCTAAATTAGAATGTGACATTATCAAAACGAATTTTAGCTCACTCTTCAGAACCATACATTAGATTTTCACTTTATACGACTCCTTGTTCAGTTCTTTTGAATTCATTGGGTCATTTTCGTCCTTCGCATATCCCCTCCCTTCTTTCATCTCATCCTAAAGATTAACTATGATAAATTCAGTTATGTTTTTATGTTCCAATTGAACACTTCCTATTTTTAATTATTAATAAAAGATAAGATTAATCTTTTGCCAAACATTTGTTAGACTTTAGCCCAAACAGTCCAAAACTTTTTGGCGCTAATTTAGTAAGCTCAAATCTAGTAATTTATAAGGCTTTGCAGGTTTAGATTTCATACCCCGACCCTAGTTGACATGTTTAGGAGTTGCTTGTTTCTATCGTTTGTTCCACTAGTGTCTTTATTTTCTTGATCTTAATTATTCAAAAAATGTACAACGTATATTTTACATCTAATTAAAGAGGTATAATTAAGAGTCTACACAACTCAACTCCACTTTTTAAATATACACTAAGCATCATCATGTACCATGCACGATTGTATGTGTCATTATCATGTTATTAAGAGGCTCTTATAAAGTTGAATAAATGACAAAAGATATGGTTAACTACGTGAAAAATGGTGGTAAAGAATAGTAAGTGAAATTGAGAGAAAAAAAAACCATAAACAAAATGCTATCCTTTTTTTTTTTTGGGCAACTAAACAAAATGCTATCCAATACGCTAAAAGAACCTTGTTTCTATTGTCTTCTGATATTTAAATAGACATTTGTAGATTTAAAAATGCATTACTCTTTTCTATGAAACCCAAATTTCCAGTGGTTTGAAAAAACTTGATAAAATGCGTAAGAACAAATATTTAAATGAAAAGATTGATTGAAGGATGCTTTATGATCAACATTCAATGCAAGTCTTTACATTATTTCTCGTGTGTGTGTTTCTGTATAATCTTGGATAAGTATGGATGTTGGGAAGATATAAGAAAGAAATTGTTTTTTTTTAAGTGTGGATACATAAATTAGAATAGTATACAAAATATAAATTATTAACTATATAAAAATTACATTAAATAAAGAATTTGAATTACTTAATTATTCATGATTTATACACTTATTCCAAACCCTGAAAATAAGTATAGAATAAGACTTATTCAAATATTTATGTTGATTTGGCTCGGTTTTGATTCATTTTTAATCAGTTTAGTTTTGGATTTGGGTTTTTTTTAAGTGTGGATACAGAAATTAGAATAGTATACAAAATATAAATTATTAACTATATAAAAATTACATTAAATAAAACATTTGAATTAATTATTCATGATTTATACACTTATTCCAAACCCTGAAAATTAGTATAGAATAAGATTTATTCAAATATTTATGTTGATTTGGCTCGGTTTTGATTCATTTTTAATCAGTTTAGTTTTGGATTTGGTTTTTTTTTTAATATTGTTGACATTAGTTATGTGCTCTTTATAACACTAATATGGAGTTTCTGATATTATGTTTTCAATTTCCCTTGAACTGATTTAGCTTTTAAGTTGTGTTTAATCAAGTAAATGTGTACACAGCTGTAGGAGACATGCAGTTTGATTTGGCGAATAGAGAAGCAGTGGATTATCCAAGGTGCATAAAATATACTAAAACACTGAAATATTATTACAGGTACATATTCTAAAAATCTAAAAATGTGAATAATTCAAAAAAAAACTTGAAAAAACTCCCCGAAAATCAGATTAATATAGAAAATAATTATTAAATTTAAATAGGCTAGCTACTGTAAATACGCAATTTATTTTATTTTAATAAATCGAAAATATACAAACTCGAAATATTATTAGCTGAACAGATTAAAAATGAAACTTAGATAAAATTTAAATATATCTATCTGATGCGACCCAATCAATATTAATCGAACCGATCCAAACGTATATATAACCGGGATAGAACCATGCCTATCGATTCGATTACGGTTTAAGTTGAAATAAATCTCCGGTTTAACTGAACCGTCTTTAACTTCTCAATCGAAAAATCAAAATCGTCTGTCTCTTTTGATCCGACGATGCTGCCTCTGATGAGAGAAGGAGGAAGAATGGCGGGAGGATGTGAGAGGAAGACGATACTAGTGTGTCTGATTCTAGCTCTTGTTCTTGGCGTCGCTGTTTACTTAAGGCTATGGACAATCGATTACACTCTATCTTCTGATGACACAGAACGCCTAAGGTTCTCTTCCTCTCTTTTCTCAAATCTTAGGGTTGTATTTGCGACAAGTATTGAGTTTTTGTGAAAAGGGTTGTTTCAGTTTCGTTAAAGTTTCAGACTTTATGTTTTCTTGAATTGATATTTTGTAGCTCAGCTGTGTTTATGTTTTGTGGTTAATCAAGTAGATGTTGGTGTGTAGGAGACAGTTTGATTTGGCTAATAGGGAAGCAATGGATGAATCTGCAGAATGGAGGAGAATGTTTGACAGTGAAGCTGAGAAAGCTTCTAAGTGTAACAAAGAGCTGGCACTGGTACTATTCTCTAAGCTTCTTCTCCATGTAGAGAAGAAAGGTTTCTTTTCTTTTTGTTGCTTTTGGGATTGACTTAGGGATGTTATTAGTTATGATTTTCTCTTTGGTGAAATGTTAACCCATATCTGCTCTACTTTTCGTAGCTTGTGCCTTTGTTAATGGTTATCTTGTTGTCTTTATGACTGTTAGCATGGTCGTACCATGTAGAGAATGGTTGTTATTTTTCTTTGCTTTAGGGATTTGCTTTGAATGTTATTAGTGATGGATGTCTTTGTGGTGAATTCATTAACAGTTGCTTCTGTTTCGGAAATGTAAACCCGTCCCTGCTCTGCTGCTTATGCTTACATTGTTCGTGGCTTGTACATTCTATGGTCTCGTAAATGGTTATCTTGCTGGCTCTGTGACTCTGTTAATATGCTCGTAGGTTCTATGTCATGGAAGGTTTAGTTTACCTGTTGATCAAGAAGCATTAGTGCAACAAAACACTGTCTTTCTTCTGTTTGGGTTGATATTTTGGAGCACTACTTGTTCTTTGTGCAGATCAAAGAGTCATCTGGGAATGGAAACACCTTTACTCTCAATCGAAAGCTAGAGTCACTACATAAGGTGACATTCTCAATCAGGAATTCAAATCCACAATCCTTATGAGATTGAATGCTTTGGCTCATTAGTTGTTTGTCTCTTGGTTTAGGAGAATGCAGCGTTGCTCACTGAGATACAGACATTAAAACAAGAGCTGGAAGCTTCAAAGTTGAAGTGCCGTTCAAGAGAGGCACCTCGTTAGATTAGTTTTCGTTGTAGACATACACCGTTTGATATGGTTCTCGCTCGTTCCGCTGCTGGTAAGAAAATCTTGAACACTACATCCTCATGTATAACAGTTGTTGTAGTATACGATTTGTAGGCTCTTTCTTAGAACAATCACTAGCAATACCTGTAATAGACACCACCATTTTCTTCACCTTGTATTGGGATAATTCATCCTAGACTTTAGTGCATTCGTGTGTTGTTTTATCTCTACATCCTTAAGGTTATAGATAATATATAGTGATAACAGTTTCAAGCCGTTGGTGTTCGTCTTAAGCATCATGGTACCTTCATATTTGCTCTTTGGGCATATGAATTTTCTCAGGTGAGAAGCTACATTGTAGTTCGTGAAGAAAGGCTGTGAAAGTTGTTGCAATTGTGCCTCACTGTGATTAGTTTAGTTTGTGTTGTTATGCCTCTTTGGTCCTGTGAGAATACATTTAACTTCTGAAACTGTGGAGAAATAAAAGTCGTTCATTTTTCCTGTAGATTTGAGTGACTGATTGATTTGGTCATATAACTAATATTTCCTGTTGGTTACTCAACGATCAGACTCCTGAAACTGTGGAGAAGTGTATAATTTGCACACGTTTACGTACATCATCATCATGATCCTGTCTTTAACTTGGAACCTATAATTAGTTAGCTTTCAACATCATCTATTCACAATCATACTCAACCACTCCATCTAACTTCTCTGCCTCAACATTTCACACGCATCACTATTTTGTTGTGACAAGACTTAAGATTAGCGCAAAAAAACAGATCAAGACATTATAGTTTGGAGTTAAAAGACAGTAGTAGTAGTACTAATAATTTACACAAAGTTTACCCCCACTAATCAGAATCTATTCCTTCCTTTTTAGTAAGATCGAAATCATGAAAATCTTCGACATTTTCATATCTATATATAAAAATATGTAGATAGTTAGAATAGATATATTAGTTATCTTGATCATTCTCCAATTCCCCAACAAAGCTTAGACGTTACACTGTCATGGCAAGGTGCGTATTCCTGCAACAACAACAACAACAATGTATGAGATTATGGAGAAATGCAGAAACAATCCTCTTCATTTTACTTTTAATTACCTCTAGCTTCTTCACAAGCTCTTTAGCAGTAGGAGCAGAGACAATGATCTCACGAGCAGTTGGGCTGATAAATCCTTCTTCAACTGCTTTATCGATGAATGAGAGCAAGGAGTTGTAGTATCCATCAACATTGAGCAAACCCACCTACATAAAATTTGTTTTACTGATTATGGGTTCTTGAATTTTCATCCAAACTCTTTTTAAAATCTTAGAGAGGGTTTGTTCTTACAGGCTTTTCATGTATTCCAAGCTGAGCCCAAGTTATGACTTCAAGCAACTCTTCAAGGGTTCCATAGCCACCTTTATATTGATCAGACTAATATGTTAATATCACATGGTCAAGTCAATAAGTGTGTCATCAAGAGAAAACCAAATGATAGACTCTTCGTCATTTCTGTTACAATTAGTAGTTTAGTACATTGGTATGAATATGATTACAAAAGCAGATTCTTTGAAAGAACTTGACTTTCCATTAAAGATCTCAGATTCAGTGTGGGCAATGCTATTTGTGGGACTGTTTCAGGTTTTGTCTCTTAGCTTGAAATGGGTAAAAAGAAAATTTCGATCACAGCAAGACTAAACAAGCTATACAGAGAGTAGTACCCCCCCTAGGATTAAAAAGCAGATCAATAAACAAAGTAAAGACTTTGATCAAAAAAAACAAAAAAACAAAATAAAGACAAGAAAAAAAAAGATCTAATTTTAAGTGCCAGATGTTGATGGGTCAAGGCCTTTATCTTTAAGAGTATGGTGACTTTTATTATTTTACATTTTTCCATTCAAAAATAAAAGAAATTTTTTAACAGTAGCTTTCACACTGCAGCTTGACCAAGAAATCATGTTTTACCAAATTCTTTTCTTCTCTATTTTGCAAAATCAGTCTACTTTGATGAACATTCTCCCATTTATTATTTATTAAGAGGCCTTAGCTGGTGTTCATGAGGTTCCTTGCGTCACCAGAGTTTGACCAGTTTTACATTATCATCATGACTTTGTTGGAAAGAAAAGCAATTTTTGAAATTTATACATATCAAAAGAAATAAAAAATTATAAGTATCTTTCTTTCTTTTTTGTAAAACGGGAAAAAAATATGATTTATAATTTGGGTGGATGGGGTTTAAAACAAAACCTGGCAATGCAATAAAAGCATCAGAATGCTTAGCCATCTCAGCTTTCCTTTGGTGCATATCTGCAACTGCTCTTACTTCTCCTACTGTTTCACCAGTCAACTGCCGTAACAAAGAGCATCCACCAATTTTTTTTTAAAAATAAAATAAAAGGAAGTAATAATTAAAAGTAGTTAAAGGCAAAAAGCAGCTTTGGACTCTTCTACAGGCACAAGCAATGATGGCTGTGCAAGTAAGTAATCCTGATATTTGGATGCTTTTGAAATCTCTTACATACATTTTGTTTTACAGAACCCTAATCTAGTTAACATCTTTCTAATCATTTTCTTCATATATTTAAGATACCTAATGGAAAAGAAGAGGATGCAGAAAAGAGAAATTACTCACAATCATGAGACTTAAGTAAATGTGATTATAATAAACAGGGAGAAGAGTAAAACAGAAGCAAAGACTGAAGATAAAATGGGTTTGAATGGGGATATGGAGAGAAGAAAACAGAATTTAAAAAAGACAAATTAATAAACAAATAACAATGTTTATTAAAAACTTGAAAAGTTCATACCTCTCTAGGCATGAGGGTCTTGGGAATGATTCTGTAGAGTGACAACAAGATGACAAAAGAGGTTTAGTTAGAAGTAATCAACAACATAACCCAACAATTTTGTTTTATCACAAACTCAGAAGACAGTTTTCTGTTGTATGATCTTAACCATAATTATCACTAAGTTATTAATAGAAGAAATTAAAAAGGGAGTAAATAGTATAAAGTGATTTAACTATAAGAAAGTTACCCAATAACATGACGACCACCATCATGAACAGCTTGTGAAACCAAGCCCATTAGTCCTATACTCCCACCTCCATAGACTAGATCAATATTCCTTGAAACCTGCAGAACAAAAAGACAAGAATAAAACAGAGTTACACATGAAACCTAGATTTGGTAAACTAATAAGTGGAAGACAAAACACTAAAGCAAACATCTGGGCACGTTTAAAAGAAGAAAGAAAAGTGCTAAGCATTTGCCTACACATACACATTGACAAACATATTGTGAACATGTTTTTATCAAGACCCAAAAAGATTACAATTTTGCAGAGCATAGTGAAAGAAAATAAGCACATAATCTTATCTCAAAACACACCAGCTGAACCAAAGACATAATAAGTTGAAAATCATGTATTACCAGTTCGTTGCCGAGATCAACAGCGGCATCTTGGTAACTACTCTTCTTGCCTTGGCTGCTTCCACAGAAGACACAGATTCTTTTGAACTTTGACTTTGGCATCGTTTCAGCTTTGTTCTCCATTGATTCTGAGCTCTTGAAAATTTAAACTTAATTTGTAGACCGGAAAGAGAAGATGTAAATAGTTAAAAGTTCTTTGAGCACAAGAACCTAATTTCAAGAAACGAGTGTAAAAGAAACCTAAATGAAACCTCACAAACTCTATATTTGGAGTTGTAGTGTATCTTCACCTCTAATGCTTCTTGGCTCAAGGGTTGTTGTTATATAGTGCGTCTTCTCGTCATGCTGGTCAATGATTTAATAATTAAAACATCAAATTTTTATTTGTTATTTTCGAAAGTAGGCACTTGATACTACAATATTTATAAGGAAAATGATTTTAGTAAAATTTAGAAACCCTCCCCTCCCCAAAGAAAAAACATGTGGTATTTAAGAGAATACCAAACATTTGATTTTAATGAGAAAAAAATATGTTGATGTCTTTACACGTGAGAGATTGAAGCACGCGCGTCTATCACCACCCGCACATACAGCTCATGTTGGCATGCGTGGCTAAATGTTTGGAAGAAGAACAAGTAATCATCTATATTATAATGATTCAGTTTTAAGGCTCCTTAAGGTGTCCACATAGGCAGATTGTGGGTCCCACATTTTTATATTAAAATAGATAGTTTTTTTAATATGGCTACAAACAAAGAATATCAGTTTAGCCAAGTGGTCTAAGACCCCATGTTTGGTCTCCAAGGACATGGGTTCAATTCCCACTGCTCTCATGCATAAACCAATTAATGTCATCATCATAAAAATATTTTTTAAACACACATAGTCTTGGTAAGATGGTCACAAACAATGAAATACACTTTTAGNTGGGTTCAATTCCCACTGCTCTCATGCATAAACCAATTAATGTCATCATCATAAAAATATTTTTTAAACACACATAGTCTTGGTAAGATGGTCACAAACAATGAAATACACTTTTAGCCAAGTGGTTTAAGGTGTCTAATTAAGTATGCAAGATTGTGGGTTCAAGCCACACACCTATCATGTATTTTTGATTTTTTTTTATTTAGGTTATTATCATATGGGCTTTTTGTTTATAAGGTTCTTATATTTTTTTTTGGGTTTATTGTTTTAAAGATCAAAATAGTTGTATAAACCCTAAACCTTAATAAGTTCAAACCCAAAATAGTTAAAAATGAATCCAAAACGAATAATAAAACAAAAAAATAAAAAACAAAAAACAAGTCTCCCGTGGTTGCCTACGCGGTTAAAACTATCCTATTATAATATAGCTCAACCCAAAAATAATAAAAAATAAATCCAAAAACGAACAGACAAAAGAAAAAAAAAAGTGAATTCCACGTGGGTGCATACGTGGATGGCTTAATGAGGGTTGAATAATATAGATTAGGAGCTCAAAAAGTTAAATCATTGCACATATTTCCTAATATATATTTTCAAAAAATTTGTATGTGAGATAAAATAAAATAAAACAACAAAAATTAATTATTTTCGTTATTATTAAATGAATATATAATTTCTCTTACATTTTAATAACTACTATAATTTCCTTGAAAACATTCCTCACCANGCACATATTTCCTAATATATATTTTCAAAAAATTTGTATGTGAGATAAAATAAAATAAAACAACAAAAATTAATTATTTTCGTTATTATTAAATGAATATATAATTTCTCTTACATTTTAATAACTACTATAATTTCCTTGAAAACATTCCTCACCACCGATTCCAGACTCCGGCGAATGGATTCCCACAGTCGATGAACGCCGTAGATAAAAATGCCTATCTAATGAAACTTAAACAACGAATATTAACTTAATTAAGGTTATTTTCAAATTGATAAATCGTTTAATACAAATATAAATACTATAAATATATAATTATATCAAGTTTTGATCTACGATATAATAACTATTTACAGCAAAAAAAACACACCTACTTTTACACACTATAAACTATATTATAGCCTAACTATTCCTATAAACCTTACTTAGCATATAAATAACATTTAACACATTCCTAATATTTTTCAAAAAAAAAATGTATGTGAAATAAAATAAAATAAACAACAAAATTTAAGTAAGTTATTTATTAAATGAATATGTAATTTATCTTACATTTTAATAACTACTATAATTTCATTGAAAACATTTCTCACCACCGACTCCAGACTTCGGCGAATGAATTCCCACAGTCGATGACTCCGTAGATAAAAATGCCACATCATTTATGAACAAAACTGAAACTTACAAAAAATCATATATAAAAACCTATCTAATGAAACTTAAACAACGAATATTAACTTAATTAGGGTTATTTTCATATTGATAAATCGTTTAATACAAATATAAATACTATAAATATAGAATTTATCAAGTTTTGACATACGATATAAAAACATGAAATTTTCCATTTCATTATTAATTGGTGTCATTAGAAGAATCCACTAAACCAACAATCGAAAAAATACACGCAAACATAATCATCCCGGCCCCGCGCTTGCGCGGGGAAGATGCAACTAGTATATATAATAGTAGACTTTCAAAGCTCCTAAAGCTGTCCACATCAGCAGGTAAGTGGGTCCCGCTATGTTTAAAAAAAAAAACATATAGTATAAACTTATGTCACGCCGGTTGATAACAACGAATAATGAATTATCCGAGTGGTCATATCCGGTTCTTGAAAGATCTGATCTGCGAGTGAACGGGTTCGAAACCCAACGCATGCATGTGGAATATTTTTTTGGGTATGATTTGGGCTTTGGGTTTGATGTGAGCTGTAGATTTAAGCCCAATAAAATTAGGTTTTGTTAAGTCGTAAACTGATTTACTCTCACGCCGTCTCCAAACCGTTCCCCTTCCGACAATCAATTTGGTTTTGATCTCGAACCTTCGATCCGCTTCAATTTGAAGCCTGTAAAGGATATCGTTTTGTTCAGAGTTTTTTGTTCTCACGTCTTCAGCAGTTCCAATTCCGGCGATATTTTTTCCTTGATCTCGATCCTTCGAAAGCGATTCAATGGGGACGGTACGAGTCCTATGATAGGGATTTTTTTCTTAGGTTCTGTAAATCGCTCTTCTGACGTTTATGCATATCATATTGCAGCATTTAAAAAAATTATTTAACTTTGTAAAACCTCTGGATTGACGGAGATGGAGAGTAAGGAGGGTGAAAGTAGCATTCCTTTCCAGCTCCAATTCGACAAGCCCATACCCTTTCAGGTTTCCTTCTTTTCTTCTCAGAGTTGTTGGCTTTTTGTGATTTTAAACATGGGTTTGTCTGGAAACTTTGAGAGTGGATTCATATTGTTTTATAGATTAAGATAGCAGAGTGGAACCCGGAGAAGGATTTACTGGAAATGGTCACGGAGGACTCCAAGATTTTGCTGCATCGTTTCAATTAGCAGAGGTTATGGACTACTTCTCCAGGTGAAAATATCTCTTTCCTCACTTTGTTAGATACAAATTAGACAATTTTGAATGCAAAGGGTTTTTGAATATTCATTTCTTTTGGCTTATAGGAAGGTCCGTTACTTCTTTATGTTGGCGTCCTGATGGTAAAGCCATAGCTGTTGGGCTTGAGGATGGAACCATTGCGCTTCACAATGTTAAGGCAAGTTTTATATTTTGAAGCGAATCCATGATGATGATGATGTTGATGGACTAACAATTCTGTTTGAGGCATTGCTATAGGAAAAAGAATCATGCTTATGTGGTTATTACTCTTTTTTTAATACAGAATGGGAAGCTACTAAGGAGCTTGAAGCCCTATGCTGTAGCTGTTGTGTGTCCTAACTGGGAGGGGGATGGACAATCTAATATTGTATGGTTTCGCCTCTGATTAGTTGTACAATAACTCATGTTTTGGTTTATATCAATGGGTATTCTTTCGTTTATATGAGCTTGTGCTTACTCTAAAAACTTAGTTGTTCAGGATGAAATTGGGAAAGTATTAGTTTATGAGGACCATACCTCACGTTTTTCCCTCCTGCTCCAAGAGCTCCGAACATGCCGGGAGTAGTAGCAGGTAACTCCAGTTTCATGGATGATGGTGAAGATTCATTAGTAGAACTATCTAATGGCTCATCCGGGAAGTTTAATGTTCTCTATAGTGGAGATCGAGATGGGAGCATATGCTTTAAAGGATTTCAGATTGGAAAGATGGTAAGTCGCTCTTCTGACTTTAAGTCAATCTTTTTTTTTTTGTATCTCGATCCTCGGTGCAAGTTCACTGCCGACGGTACGAGCCTTCCCTTAACCACTTCTCCATCTCCTATATATAAAGGTAGTGTATATGGTGTGAGCTCTCTGCTATTTATAAAGGTAGTGTATGGTGTGAGCTCTCTCCTATATATAAAGGTAGTGTATGTTGAGAGCTCTTAACCTTTTCAACAAGGTAATCTCGCGATGTTCTTTAGAGTTTCTGATGTCGACAGGTATACATGTGCTTGTGTCTTTAGCTGCATCTTTGTGTCTTCTTTGTTTTTTTTTAATCAGCTTGGTGTCTTCTTCTCAGATCAGCAAATCCCGGAACCGTTTTTTGCTTAAAGTGTTGTGGTGTGCACCGAAGACTTGGCACTCATATCCCAATGGTGATATAAATGTTGTGGTATAGCTTCTATTATGTTTGCTGTTTCTTATTTTTTTATTGTCTACTCATATACATAGTTTTTGGTTTGTATACAAGTCTTGTCTGTAACACTTGATGAATGGTTTTTATACAGGTTTTGTCGACTCCAAGATTGAAATTAGAGGAAATGCTTCTGCTAATTCTATACGAAGCTTTTTTACCAACGTATGAGATTCATTAGGTATCTATTTAAAAAGATTACAACAGAAGTGAGGAAACTGTGTAGGCTGATCCTTAAACAGAAGCTACTAGACATAGAAGAGAGCAAGAGCTGATGGCAAACCTTTCCTTATGCCAATTTTTTTTTAGTTGGGAAATTTTACATTTTAAAATATTTTTCGCTCATTGTGGACCAGCCTAATTAGGAGAACCATGGCAATCAGCATAATCCAGATCAAGAGAAAGCACCAGAAGATGCTAAAGGGTGTGCGTGTCGTTGTTGTCAATTTGTTGAAAGGAAATTGATTTGTTTTTCCCAGTTTGGAACTAATCTATTTTCTGTCGGAAACATGTGTTTAGGGATGCTAAGGACCATTTAACAAATGATGCTTGGTCAAATATTGTGTTCCCAAAGTCCTATCTAAGGCATTGAGATTTGTAGATGGAGGGTGGTGAATGTGGTGGCAAGGCTTAGCGTGGATGCATGGGGTTTTTGGTAATGAAGCAGCTTTAATTTTTGTACAAGAAAGCTTTATTTATTGTTGTTACCATTTCAAAGATTGTTCGTTGTGAATTTGGATTTTTATGAGGGGGTTGACTATGAACAAATTTTAGTCAATGCTGTGAAACGTCTGTGGAATATGTTCAGATTCTCTTTGGATTGCTGGACTCATTATTTCTTGATGGGTACTTTGACTCCGTTCCGAAATTTATTTAGTTGCTAGCATTAACAGAACAAAAAGCAAAAGAACCCCGCGCTTGCGCGGGGTTTATGATCCCTAGTACGTATTAAGATTTAAGAAATCCATCCCTAGACTTCCTCTAGTCCCCTAAACATTATTTGAAAAATGATTTTTTCAAATTTATGTGTTCTAGCTAAAATCATTTTCATTAAAAAAATGACATGATAAACTAATAATTATGAATGGTTTATGGTTAACTGTGACATAGATACTGATAATTAAATTTGCTTTATATTTTTTAATTGTTTTTTAAAGTATGGTCATAACTGATACATCATCAATAAAATAAGTATATTCAAATATATTACTAAATAAAATATTAATAGAGCTATAACAATAGCTTAAAAAAATTTCAAAATATTTTTTTTCTTGTTATAATTCTTTGATTTCAGAATAATTAGTATATTTTTATAGAAATATTATGTATTTTTATATAAAATATAAAATTTAATCCTAAAAGGCTAAAACCATTAGTTTCTTTTTTAATATCTATAAATATTAGAAATACTATTTATTTTTACTTTTTGATAATTGTATCAAAAAAAGTTTCTTAATTTATAAGTTGATTAATATAACTTAACCCAAAAATAAAAAAAATTATCTCAGACTATAATTTTAAACATATACATATCTATTAATAAATTCAACTTTAAAATAAACATTATTTATCTTAATTTTTATGTTTAACTACATTATAATTTATATTAAAATATTGGTATGAAAATAATAAAATCTAAAATCTTAACCAAATATATTTTAAACATAATTTAAATTGGAAAAAATGCTACACATTGTGCTGAAAGGCACCTAGTTATTTGAGAACTGATTTGTTTATTTGACATCAACACATTTATTTTCACAAAAAGATGACATGGATTCTATAAAAATAACATAACATCAAGCTAATTGTGATATGGATAATTTATTTGATATAAGTTTGTGGTTTTGATAAGTTTTCTGAAATATTGTAATAACCATATATCATTATTAACATTAATAAAATAACTAGTATTATATTTACAATTATAAAAATAGTTCCAGAGCTAGAAAAAATAAAATTCAGAAGTATTATATATTTAGAAAATTATTTTCTTATATGTCATCATCATATTCCTCTAAAAAAAATGACATTAATTCTAAACACTAAGAAATGACATCAAGCCTAATGTGACAAACAATTTCATCTATGCAAGTTTATATTTTTTTAAAAAAATCTGATAATAATGCATATCATCATTAACATTAATAGAGGTAAACTAATTATATATTTACAAATATAGAAATATTTTCACAGATAGAAAACATAGAAATTTATATATATAATTATCATATAGTCAAAATTAATTATAAAATTATCATAAAATATAAAATTAAGATATTATTAATCAACTAAAAAATAGATAATTAAATGTTTGAAGTATAACCAAAATGAATTAAATGTTATAAAAGTTAATTTAAGTTTCTAACAATTTATTCACGTTTAATCGTGATAAAGTTTATATAAGGTTAATTAATAGATTAATTTCTTTTAGTTTATAAAAAGTATTTGATATTTTTAGTTTCAGAAGGATTACAATTTAATTAATTGAACATGTAAAATATTTTTTACTTATGATTTTTTCAAAATATTATTTTTTTTGTGATTTACTTACTTTTATAAATTTATTTATTTTTAATTAGAAAACTGATATGTTTTCATTTCTTATTTGTAAATGAACAGTTTGAGTCACATTTCTCACTTAATCAACTAGTTAGTTAAGTTGAATGTTTTTGTGATAAAGATGTTAGATTGATGATTTAAAATGTTAGCGAAAAACTTTAATGATTTGAAGGATCAGTGAATACTAATTTAAAGTTTAAAGGGCATACTAGACACATAAAATACACGGCCTATAACATGTAGATAATTAAGTAACTAACAGAACTTACAATAGTGAACACCATGACAGTTGATCCCCTAGTTTAGGATCAAAAGGTTGTACAATTCAATTCTTTTTTCTTGTGATAAAGTTAATATTTCACTACAAGAAAACTCGTCCATTACTAGGACGGGTTTTCCTCGTTGGTTCCTAGTAAATGGCCTTTTATTAGGAACTTACGAGGAAACGCGTTTCCTCGAAACACGTTCATCGTAAAGCCATTTTCCTCGTAAGGTTGTAGCGAATTTACGAGGAAAGCTTTCCTCGTAAAGGCGTGGTAATATTTTCCTCGTAAGGTCCTAGTAAGCTTTCCTCGTAAGCTCGTAGTAAGTACTTCCTCGTAAGGTCGTAGTGATACATTACGAGGAAATAACTAGAACTATTTACGAGGATATTACTTGGAATATTTTACGAGGATTTTGCTTGGAAATATTTTTTTCCTATTTAAAAAATAATTACAAATAATTAATTTATTTTTTAAAAATAAAAAAAATCAAATTATAAATAAAAATAAAAAAACAAAATATTTTATAAATAACTAGATAATATACAATAAGTTTTTAAATTCATAATATACAAATAAAAATAAAAGAAACTACGGATGCTGGTCGTGAAATTGCTGACTGAACAAAACGTCGTCCTGGCTCGGCAAATCCTCTCCATAGTTGGTTGCCGGCTGTGACT